AGCCCTTCACAGGATAGACTGTAAAGTGAATTGACTGTATATATTTGTGGGCGAAATGCGGCAGCTAATTGTGCACAGCAGTGTCCCACAAACAGTCGGGGATTGAGTGACCAATTTATTATTGTTTTTTTGAGGGATTATTATCAGGCATGTGGAGTAAGGAAATTTGTCCAAGGTTTCAGCCTGCCGGGAATCGAACCCAGGTCTCTCACTTGCAAAGCGGGTGCTCTAACCATTGAGCTACAGGACTCCACAAAATAATAATAATAATAATACTCCTTGCATTTGATATAGCGCTTTTCACATCTTCCGGACATCTCAAAGCGCTTCACAGAATAGACTGTAAAATGTTGTTTTCCTGCAGTTAACTATTCCACTATGCATTGCTGCTGGGATGCAGTATTTAATACATGTTCACTATAGTGTAGTAAAATTAGTTATCTTAATTGGTAAAGCAACTGCCAGTAAAATGTTTAGTTTCGTCCCCATCCGATATCTCTATTCCCAGTATTCATTGACTCTTATCTTTCTTATTTTATTGAGATCCTTTTCTAAGACAATGTTATGCATTGTAACAGAGTCACTGGCAATTTTTTCTTTAATTATTTTGCTGGAAACTTTTGATCTACAGTGTAGATTTGGTGTTATTGTGCCACCAAATTCTCTCAAAATATCTGCAGGATTTACTTTAATAAACTAAATTAATGTATCAGATTTATTAAAGAAGCAAAATTTGCTTTGGTGAGAATGTGGTAAAAGTCTACCTTATAATTGCAGGACCCAGTCCTGTCAGAGTATGTTCCTGTATGTTTGGCCGTGTTCACCACAACTGCAGTGACAAGTTTGTAAGAATTCGTAACTAGTTGAACACATTCCTATTGATGATAACATCCAGCCTTTACTAAGACAAGAAATTCTTTTCACAAAGTTTGTGAGCTCATTCTAGTCAGCATGAAGGTCGTAAGAGATCTCCAACTGAAGGCAGGGCGGGAGAGAAGAGACTGAGAGTAACACAACTTTTAATGCCGGGGTTCCTACCTTGAAATTGACACAAGCTGCAATGGAACCCTTTAACATCATTTCTTATAAAATTTTGTTTGTGGATTCTCTCGTTGAACAGTTTACTTTCCTGTATGTTTGGCTGTTGATGGAAGTTTCACAATCCAGCCGCAGTCCTCTGAGCACTGTAACGACTGGAGCGATCATTATAGCAGAAAATGTAGACAATCTGCTTATAGACGTAGACAATATACATTTCCAAATCAGATGATCTATTAAGTGCTGTGTTTTTGTACCTTGAATGCTGAACTATTGCTAATTATTTTTCCTTGATGCTGCATTTGTTTTTTATGAGGGGTATATAATGTGTATTTGCTTCAGGTTTGGTCTGATTTTCCAGTTGCAGCTATACTGTCAGAGGGAGGTGATGGGGAATAGGAAATAGATACAACACCAATTTGCATTTATATAGAGTCCTTTACGCGGGGTAGTGTCCCGGAGCACTTGACAGCGGTGGAGTCTGACACCGAGCCAAGTGGAGAGGTTACCGTAAGCACGACCAAGAAGCAAGATCTTTAGGCAGGATTTGAAAATGGGAAGGGACAAGGTAGAGGGATTGAGGGAGAGAGTTCTAGAGCTTCGGGGCGTTGTGGCTAGGTACGGCCACCGATGGTGGAGCAGAAGGGACGAGGGACAAACGGGAGGGAGGAGACAGCCGATTGGAGGCAGCAATGGGGGGTAAGCAACTCGGATAGGTAGGGATAGGAGAACCTCTGCGTCTGGTAAGATACTGAAACTCCAGGGAGGGAAAGGGAGAGGATAAATTAGACCTAAGGTACCACCCCTCCTAGTGCATAGATTCCAAGCATGATTGAGAACAGTTCCCATGTGAACCTGCTGTTAATCCACAAAGGACACACACTATTGCAGAGGTGCTGTCAATGGGTTTTGTGTCCTGGCTTGAATGAAAACTAAATTGCACTGAATACCACAACGCCCAAAGGAAACTAGCTCATTTTGGGGGGGGGGGAAAGCATATAGAGACTGGAACTGTTTGGAACTCTTTAGAAAAGCTGTTACTTGAAATATCTTTTGCAGAGTTCCATTCATTTATCAAAATCAGTCACTTAACTAAGTAGGGCCCAACCTTTTGGCTGCTGAGGGCCAGATGCCAGATTTGAGCAATATTTTCTCCTGATTGGCCAGTTCTGTTGTTGGCCAGAGCCTGAGCCCCTGGTGACAACCTCTTGATTGGTTCACAGCCCAGATAAAGTCACCCCCTGGGCCGGTTGTGGCCCACGGGCCGCCAGTTGGACCATCCTGTCGTAATTTATTGTATCTCGGAGTGGGAAGGAAGAGTAAAGTTTGTGTGGACTTTACTTCATAATTAATAAAATAGTATTTTAACATTAAACATTCTATACACTTAAGAGTGATGACCTGATTTGTTTCTTTTAAACTATACACTGAAGACATTCTAAATGCATTTGGGGCAAAACCGATCTCTGTCTTCCTAGTTTAAAATGAGACTGAGAAGCTTTGTGCGTTTTGAATTTTCTGCTTAATATTTGCCCCCTGAAATTTTTTTGGGGAAATTTCCCATCTGGAACAAAATATTTATTAAAAACCTGAATATTTTACTGTATCCAGTCTTTATGCTTATCAGAGTAAGAGACTAGCTTTCTGGTCACATCGCTACTGTTACAACAAACTTCTCAAGAGTACTGATAGTTTACCTAGCAGGAAGTAGGAATACAGTTGTTAGTCAATTGGCGGATCGCTTTTCCGGGCATAATAAATATCCCTTAAAAAATAATAATGTTTATGGGACACTGTTGTGTGTCGTGTTTCGCTCACAAATTGGCTATCGTGTTTCGCTCACAAAATATACAGTCAATTCACTTTATAGTATATTCTATGAAGTGCTTTGAGACTTCTCGAGCACGTGATAAAGCGTTATATCATATGCAAGGATTATTATTATTTTTACCATTATCAAATGGCCATCTCCAAACGACAACAAATAGCTTTTTGACATACTTCAACAAAAACCAACCAAAGAGTGTTAAAGCTTCTGGTTAATTTTATTGCACCACATTCTGGGGCACAATACAGGTACTTGTAATGTATGAAATAAATGATGTCTCGCAGTGGCTGCTTTTACAACTCCCATTTCAGGAAATACCATTGGTTACAATACAGACCACTTGGTTGATAATCTATTCAGATTGCACTCGGGGTTCTGGTTTTGTTTGCACATCACAATTCCCAAGTTGGCAAAGTTCTGGGAAAGATTTAGCTGAAAGCTTTTTTTCCCCTGGCCTTTTTGAGGATTTGGGCAGTTTGGGGATTTCCAATATTCCAATTATTTCCAATAATCACAACCTGGAAGTGAATGCAACAAATTTAGTTTAATATTGTATTTTTTACCCCAATATGATTTTTAGTGTTTTGGGGGAGTAAAAGCAATTTTGATCAAGAAGAAGGGCAGTGCTTTCTTCTGGCTTTAATTTTGGTTTCAATTTAGTGGAATCTTTTATTCTGGACTGAAATAGTTTACTTTGCTTAAAGCAGCTGCACTTTCTCTCTCCTTGTCCACTTTCACCATTTTTCATTTACTTCATTTTGTGGCTGGTCTATTGTGTTCCATGACTTTAAAATCAGAAATAAAATACATTTTCCTTTAACTAAACTAAAAGAGCTCAGGACAGCCACAAAGGCCTGAAATGATGTCTGAACATTACTTTGGTTGTCTTAGGGATATCAGCTTTGTTTAGAACTTGAAAAATTATTTATATGGATGGGTAAGTTTGCTGTCTATTTGATTTTCAGAAGCTGTTGGCAAGTCCCCTAACTTCTAAGTATATCTGAATTTTATACACATCTGTAAAACCCAATTGCATAACAATTTTTGGAATCTGGTAATTGCGAATTGCGGTCCAGCACTCATTTCTATGAATTTATTCAAAGTTGATGTTTTCCTCTCGGTTTTTTTTTCATTTCTTTGATTTGTGCGTGCTTGACTTTACGGAGGTCACAAGAACATTTTGCTGATGAGACAAATGCCACTGATTCCAAATAAGCAGTTAGAATGGCCTCATTATTGCTACAGTAGCTACAGATTGACTGACCACAAGATGCAAGGGAAAAAGTCTTATCATTTTAAGGGCTCATAACCCCTCCGGAATTTGCTTGGTGTGCAAAAAGTTGCTCAGCGTGACTATGTCTCTCTGTGGGAGAATGCCTCGTGCTCCAGCTTGTGTTAGGGCTTCCCCAAGGGCATTAAATCCACTATCCACCACTGTATTGTCAGTGAGTGCTTTGCAGTTGCCATGCACTTATGTCAACTCTTCACTACCCCTTTTTGATTCCTTGTACCACCTTGGAGGCTATTCTAATTTCCTATTGGGTTGTTGCTGGAGCATTGATCTTCAGTAAGCAATTAAGATCTTAATGTGTCCCGAGTCTGTAGTGGGGAAAGAGACTGAGGGTATAAAGCAACTGGGAGGAGAGTCATAACAAAGTCTTTGGGAAAACAATGGTCTGAATTCTACAATTGGAGAATGTGTTTCTGCGTATACCTGGTAACATGGTCAAGCCTAAAAAACTGGCACTTTGAGAGAGCTTAAATTTGAAACGAATTGAGTGAATTGAACCTAACCCTCTTGGTTAAGATTCCTAAATCTTTTTAAAGGACCTTGTCTACTATTGTGTCCTGTAAGATCAGGCCAAAATAGTAGACTTCCTGCTTGTATCCGCAATGACACAGGGTTTTGGGAAGTGTGTTGGGACACAAAGAAACAGAGCCAGATATAGACGCTAGAATTTGGAAGCTTGAATGTTTTGCTTTTAATGTAATTACAGACACCTTCATTACTTTAAGGCTTTGTTACAGCCCTACTTTAAGCTTAAATCGGTGCAAAATGCATAAAAGCTGCGCTTCCCGTGCAATGTGGCTGCTGCAAAAAAGTAATTAACATTTTCACTTTTTCTCTTTCCAGGGTTTCCATGGCCCTTATCCCTTTGGTCAGTCTTAAAACGGGTATTGCCATTGTCCAGCAGCCTCTGGGGTCTCAGCGTGACTCTGCAATTTGCTATGGCCCTCCCCCCCCCCCCCCCCTTGACCCAACACTGAAAATGATGGCTGTTTGTTACAAAACAATGTATGCATGTGTGAATGCTAAATTAAAGAGTGCTCTAATTGTTGAAATAAAACACAATGGATTTTTTAGATGACATTGTCAGAATAATTATGTAGTTAAACACAAAAAAGCCATGTTCAAATTATTTTGCCTACTGAGCAACTGTAGTTTAAGCAAAAAGGTTTCAAAAAAATTATTTTGTATTTGTTTGTTCAAAAAACATCTTAATTGTTGGAATTTTTTCCAGTGCGAGTGTGAGTTTGTTGTAACCCGCGGATACCACATGGAGAGAGTGCATGAATGGAGTAGGTTTGTGTGCGAGATGAGTGGAACTCACTATAGAATGGGAGCAGTCTGTCAGCACAATCAATTGGAGATTTTTCCATACTGTACAAATGAAGTTTATTATTAAATTAACACTGACGTCTAATCAAACTTGTGTCTAATTTTAGAAATCACTTTGTTTCAGTCAATGTCAACAAATGAGAGACTGTTGACCATTTTCACAATATTTTTTAAAATGTCTATCTCCAGTTGATTTTCAATTATATTTCAATGTGCACTGAAGAGTTATGCTATGTGATGTGTTCAATGGGATGATTTAATTTCCATTAGGCCATCCCAGGATGTCAACTGCTCCTGTGTTTGTGGAAAAGCAACCAACAAATGCTCTCTAAGTCAGTTGGATATCTTATACACTACCATCTTGTCACGGCATCTGTTTAACCTTCCAGTAATATCTGCACTCAGTTCAAAATTCTACAGTTACCAAGCTGGCCAGTAACCATAGCTCATTCTTTCCTATAAATAGTACGTTTCCTAGTTATTCTCTTCTCCCCACCTATTCTAAACCCTTTGTAGTTTAGGCTGACCCACTCACTGTGGACTGGTTTTCTCTGCCAGTGGCACACAGCCAGCGATTGCACAAATGCTATTCGTAATGTACAACTCTAGGGTGATTTTAACTGTGTAATGATATTGAGTTTGCTGCAGATGCCAGTTCATAAAAACATTAGGTAAGGAGCATGTTGCCACATGCGTTTGATGACCCTTGGGGCAATAAGACAACATGGCTCATGGTGGTTCTAGATTTTTGCTACATTGTGCTTTTCTGATCTCTGATAGACTTGGGTTTCCCTGTGGATTTACAAATTCAGAGCCTAGACTGCTCTTGCATGGTTACCAATGGCTGATCATTGCCTTCAAATTCCTGCACGCCCTTGCACTCCCTACCTCTGCAATTTTCTGTGACTCTACATCCTGGGCACTTTGCCAATGCCGCCCCATTCCATGTCTCCTGCCCCACCATCGTCAAGCCAGCTGGCAACCTCTTTGCTCCCTCACTCTGGAACTCCTTAAATTCCTCCTTCCTCCTCCTCGCTCTTCCCTCTGTGCTTTCAATTCCTGCTTGGGGCCTCTTTGACTGTGTTTTTGGCCACCTTTTCCCAGCTTGGGTTCCCACATATTCTTTTCAATTTCCCCAACACAAAAGTCTCTGTACGAAGTGTATATTGTTGGTCGGAGAGTGACCGAGACTTAGAAATGGTACATGTTCCTGCTTCTGCATTCTATAAAAAACATCATTTAGGTATGAGATAGGCTGTAAAGTTAATGATGGTTTGCTTTCATGTGTTTATATGAAGCTAAGCCAGGACTGCTGCCTGTTGTCACTGCAGTATATGACAGTTCAGTTCTTGTGCATCTAAATGCCTATAGTGTAGAACAAAGAACTGGGGAAGTGAACAGAGTGAGCACGGAGTGGCTTGAGACTATAAAGAGAAAGTAGACATGAAATGGTTTCTGCAGCATCCAGTGTATATCTTGTTGTCCATCCCCCTCAGATGGTTGTTTCAATTTCTAATTATATTTTTTTAAATGCTGTCTGGTTTCGGAAATTAAATCAATAATTGTGATCTAACTACCATTAGTGTTACAACCAAAAGCACCTTAGTGAAGGTTATTAAATCCATGGGAGGGAGGAGGGAGAAGAGAAGAGTGGGATTCTCTCTAGACGCTGTTGGAAAACTGCATCAAATGGCTGTCTACATGGTGAATATCTGAAACCAGAATGTGAGAGCAGCTATTCATGAAGACTATGCATGATCTGTTTGCAACATGTTCGAGACTTTTGAACTAAAGTGGTTTGTAACCACATTGGAAGCCAACCCACTAAGTGTGTCCAATCTATTGAGCCAAGGAGCTAGTGGTGCTATCTGCTTTAAGAGGAGTAATGGAAGTCTGAATTGGTTGCATGTTTGTAGAGACTAAATTGAAGTAAGTGAACATCTGGACTGGGCTTGCAAACTCTAGTGGACCTGAACCAATACTTGGATCATTTTGCTTAGTTTATTAGTTTTTCCAATGACATTTCATATGCAATCTCCCCCACCCCACCCCCTGCAGTTCTCTTGCTTCACAGCTTTCCAGCTTTGGTTCACCCAGCATAGTTTTCATGGGTGAGATGGTTTAACCTTTTGTTTATCCCATTTCATCGCTTCGCGACTTTGCACAACATGTCAAAACCTCACTGGTTTGTAGTTGAGGCTACTGTTTGTGCCAGTTTTATTTCACTCTCTACGATTCAGTCTCAATGATAAACTCCAGAAGTTATCCTGGAGCCATGCCAACATGAGTGCTGACAAAGGTGGCATTTCACAACCTGCCTTCTGCCTACTGAAAGTGGTCAAAAGTCAACAGTGGAACATATTAGTCATAAGCTGGGCCAATAGAAAATTGCACTCACAATTGTTTCACAAAACCTGTGAAAAAAAATACTTTTTCCCCTCCCCCAGGGCCGCTGTTCAGATTGTGTGTGTCTCTCTGGGTGTGTGTCTCTCTCAGTCTATGAGTGTATCTCTCTCTGTGTATGTGAGTGTGTCTGTCTCTCTCGCTGTATCTCTCTGGATGTCTGTGTGCGTTGGTGGTTCCGTGAGGCAGAAGGTGGCAACCTCCTCGAGCCTCGCAGTCAGGGCACTGGCGATCAATACTGGTGTTCAGCGGATCTCCACTCCTTCAAATGTAGTGCAGAGTGGAAACGGACCAGTCGGCCCTTCAGATCTGTGCTGGTGTTTTTCCTCCCATGTTTTTGTGAAAGAAAGGATTAATAAATGTTTTTTTTTGTTTGCAACAATCTATGATTTCTCCATATTTAGTTTTTATCAAAGTGAAAAAAATGTAGGTTTGCAGTAAAATGTGCCTCTCAATACCACCAATCAACTCTCCGCAATTTACAGCAAAATTTGTTAAATTCCCGGCAATTTTTGGCAAATATTTCTGCAATTTTCTATTGGCCCTGGTCATAAAGTGCAATGAGCATGAATCCGAATAGTCTCAAACTGATATCAAAATTGCATAAAACCTCAGTGATATGAATTAAATATTTTATACACCAGGTTCCACTATTTCTGTTGACGTTGAGCTTTACTCTCGGACAGCTGTCTTTCAGTATCAGTTGCAAATTTTAATCCTTGGTCACCATCAATAGAAATAAGTGTGACTGAGTGAATATAAAGAGTGTGTATTGGTAGAGTTTTGTAAGTGTGTTTGATGGTAGAAGCATATATGTATATTGCTGACTGCTGCACTGATGAACATAAGAAGACTTGGAAATTATTGCAATTAAAGAAATGTTAATTTATAAATTGTGTGAATAATTTGATGTGCAGTTTAATGTCTAAACACAGTGGGATTATTTTACTCTGTAGCAACATTGGTTGTGTTCTCTACGAAGATACATATATATATATAAAATTGTATAGTCTGGTCAAGGCTATACACTTGGTACCATATAGCCATAGTGCACAATTACATTATAGGAAACCCATTTTAAACGTTTCTTGACTTCTCTGTTGTAAGTATTGCATTCTCAATACTGAGCTACATGTACGTTTATAATAATTCAAAAATTGTCTTGCATTTGATATAGCACCTTTCACTGGCTGATATTTCAAAGCACTTCACAGGATTCATCTGGCAGCAAATTTGCACACACAATATCCTAGAAATGGCCATGAAGTAATTGACCAATTTTAGTTGGATACGACACTGTTTCAAATAGTGCCATGGCATCTTTACTATTCAACACCAACAAATTACATTTGTATAGCACCTATCATGTCGGGAAGACATCCCAAGGAGCTGGACAGTCAAAGGTTTGTACCCGAGCTGGGACTTGGGATCAGGAGGGGTGGAGCGCAGGGAGGCTAGGGGTAGAAGGGTGACCAAAGGGTTAGGGTTTTGAAGAGGAAGACAACCTCAACATGGAGATGTTACCTTGGTTTAAAGCCTTATCTGAAGGATGGCTTCTTTGGCTCAACAGCACTCCCCAACACCTTCTCTTCACCAACCATTGACAAAAGGAGATGCAGTTAGTTTGTTCAACAGCTATAACTACCCTTTGTAATGTGCCTTTCATGTAGGAGGTCTTGGAAGTGCTTTTCAAAGTGCAATTAAATGGCCACTCAGATTTCCAAATTAACATGAGTTTGAAAAGATCCAGTTAAAATACCATACACTTACCTTACATCTATTTATCAAGTAGAATCATAGAATTTGACAATTCACTTAGCTCCCTTCCCTTTCACCTCCCCTGCCCTCTACTTGTAGCCTTTCATGTAACTCCTTAAATAAGTGAGTGCATTTGCTTTGACAACTTTATACCTGAACAAGCACAAGCATTTCAAATGAAACCATCGAAAGGTGACTGACTGGATTCACAACCTTGTTCACTCCGGACTCTCACAATTGCAGTTTCAAATGAAACTTCTTGAGGGTATGGTTTCTTTGTAGCTGCGTGTTAAGGAGCAGCGAGTGAACATTCATTCCCATCACTGAAGTTTTACCCACATCAGGAAGACATTGTGAGAATCCATTGAGATGCTATTGCTGGAAGATCCTAATGTCATGAGGGATTTGCATAGTAACAGGTTTCTGGTTTATGGTAAGGAAATAGGAAAAGTGCCATTGGTATACAGAACC